AGTTGCTGTACCACCGGCTTTAACATATCCGCTAGCAGCTTCATGACGTCAGTTCCCTCCTCTGGCCTCAGGCTCTAACTCCTCTGGCCTCAGGCTCTGGTCGCAGTTCAGCATTCTAACCACTGATCCGCTGCGGTCCCTTCTTCTTTCCCTGTATCTCCACCCAGGGAAGTGATGGTAGATATAATCTCGGCCTGCAAAAACTTAGTGGTGTGGCTTCCCTTCCTGCAGGAGTCCCTTGGAGGATGACTTTCCCCCGGCTCCATGCTTGCATGTGCAGGTTTTAGGGTTGTGCCAGGGCTGCCGCCCCACCCCCCGGCTTCCTGTGTCCTGAAGCCGTTGGGTGCCACCCCAGGCCGCTCCCATTAGAGTCCAGGTCCAAGAAGGTCCCGGCTGAAACCCTGAGGGGCTGAATGGGCGCGGTGCCAAGCCGACTGGATCCTGCAGCAATTGCAGCTGGTGATCCCTGCAGCAGCTGCGGCTGTTGGTGAAAATGTGGTTGTGGGGCCTTTATGCCGACCTCTTGGACCATTTGCGGGGGGGGGGAGCAGGGACTGACTGGCTCCTTGCGTTCAGCCAGCCCTGCACTGGTGTAGCTTCCCCTTCCGACCATTATTGCCCGACCCCCAAATTCCTCTGGGGTAAGGGACTGAGGCTCCACGAGGACCTCCATTACAGCCATTTTCCCCCGTCCGAAGCCTCAGTTGGCGGAAGGGGCAGTTCCGGCCATTCATGGCCTGGGGGGTGCGAGGTTGCCTGCTCCACGCACTCAACCCACTGGCCTGCCTGCGCAGGGGCTGGTAAGGCTGTGTCTGTATAGGGTGCAGGATGCCTGCGGGTGTCCACACCCCCGGTGGACCCATGGCTCCCCAAGCGCCACTGTACTTTTGTCGGTCCCGGTCGGGGAGAGAGCGGGGACCGACCGGCTCAGTGCATTTGGCCAGCCCCGCGCTGGTGGAGCTTCGTGCTGGTGGAGCTTCCCTCTTCCGACCGGTGTTGCCCAACCCCCACCACCTCGGGGATAAGGGGCTGAAGCTCCCCGGGGACCTCCGATGTGGCCATTTTTCCACCCTCCAAGAGGAAGGACTAACCGGCTCATTGCGTTCGGCCGGTCCCACGCTATTGGAGCTTCCCTCTTCTGACCGGTGTTGCCCGACCCCCGACTCCTCAGGGGTAAGGGGCTGAAGCCCCATGGGGATCTCCGTCATGGTTGGATTGCGGGAGGGATTGCCCAGCCTTTGGCATTGATGGTGGTGGTGGGGAAGGGAGCTTGTCTGTTCCGCGCGCCCCACTGGCTGGCCCGTGCGTCCCGTGCCGCTAGGTCCCTATGCCACCTGGTTTGCGTAGGGATTGCGGCTGAAGAAAGGGGCCCGTCAGTCCCTATGGACCTGCTACCCCAATGCCTCCACCATATCCTTGGAGCTGGCTGGCTGCATCTACTGAGCTGCCCCCCCCCGGGCTGCCGCCCCGTTGGAATAAACTCACCACAGGGCTCGCCGGCCCCTTCGGCTTCCCGCGTCGATTCATCGTTCTGCGGCTGCTGCCCACCCCTCCTGCTACTGCCATCTTCTTGGCGCCGGGGGGGGAGTGGGAGCCAAATGGTTTTGACCACTTGGGGTCCCCGGCACTGGCCGCGGCCTCCATGCCGCCATCTTGGGCCACGTGCATGGGGGGGCACGGGAACCAGCTGGCCCAGTGCGTTCAGCCGGTCCCGCGCTGGTGGAGCCTCCTTCCTCCGTTCAGAGCAGCGGCGCAACTCCCAGCTGCTGATCTGTGTGTCGCCGGCCTCCCGGAACCTCGGGGGCAATGGGCCTGTACGGAGGTCTCCGTTGCGGCCATTCCCTCTCGGAACCTCGGGAGGTGGGGCCGAGTCTTCCTCCTCCCATCTGGCATCTTCAGAGTTCTCCAGCTTCCTTGGAGCCTGGGAGGGAAGGGTAGGTCTTCAGACGTAGACCTCCCCACTCTACTGCTATCTAACTTTTAACTCTTGTGAGTTTTAAATTAAATTGTAAGTTTTAAATTCGTTCCTCTGGCTTGGAGCAGGAGCTCCAGACGTCCTACCGAGTGCAGGGCTATGCAGAAACGGAGAGGTCAGCCTAGGCCACTCCAATAGGAGCCACGCAACAAAAGAAATTTGCATAGCCTATCGAGCGAGCAGAGGCGTGACCTAACCAGTTCCTGGATGACTTCCCCCCCACTGAAGGAGAATGGCTGCTTCGGAAGGTGAACTCTATGGCATTTGTACCTTGCTGAGGTCCCTCCCTTCCCCCAAACCCCACCTTCCCCAGGGTCCACCCCAAAAATCTCCAGGTATTTCCCCACCCAGAGCTGGCAACCCTGGACACAAGGGAGTAATTGCTACTTTCTCACACACACATGCAAATCTAAAGAGTTACTTCTTTGGAAAATGAATGATTAAAGCATGGAAGTTCCAGGAAGAAGAACTGGAGTTGATGTCAGTGACTTTCTAACACTCTCTCAGAAGCACTAGGAAAATCATGGGGGTATGATTCCAGATTGCCATACAGTCAAGAGATTCACATGGTGCTGTTCTTGTTGAATAGCACAAAGGGAGAAGTGCACGTTACAACATTCGCTCATATCAAACCACCCAATCTACTATAAAGGGAGAGGAAGGGATATGGCAAGCTGTGGGCCCCTTTGGTGACACTAAAGGGAATGGAGTGAGTGACACCTTGTTCCTTCTCAGCATTTATCAACTGCTTCCCTGCCACACCTGTTTCCCGCCTCCTTTCTCATGCTCACATGCTTTCATCTCAAGTAATCCTTTACTCACCAGCTAACATTGCATGTGAATGGGCCTCCCTCCTGCTCATAGGAATGGGTGGAGAATAGGTTTAGGGATGCCAGCCTCCAGGCAATGTTCCCTCTAAGCTGTGGAGTTTTGTGAGCAAAAGTTCTACTTTGTGAGCTACTGGCATTAGTTGTGAGCGAGCGATTTGGCTACTGCATCAATTAGTTTGCTCTGGAGACATCCTTCCTGAGCCAAGACAAAAATGTGTGAGCCAGAGGCTAAAAAAACTGAGCTAACTCACACTAACTCAGCTTAGAGGGAACACTGCCTCCAGGTGGGACCTGGGGATCCCTCAGAATTGCAGCCCATCTTCAGACTACAGAAATTGGTTTCCATGGGAAAAATTGATACTTTGAAGAGTAGACTCTATGGCATTGTACCCCATTGAGGCCCCTGTCCTCCCCAGGCTCCACCTCTTAATCTCCAGGAGTTTCCCGACATGGAGCTAGCAACCCTATTTCAATCCTCCACCGGTGGCCGAGGGGACCTAAGGTGCTTCCCTCTGTAATAACAGGGGTGATTTCCTGTGGGAGTGCACAGGAGCGGAGCTCTGGCACTAAGGAGCTCATGGGGCAGGCACATGCAACAAGCCACGCCCCCTGCTCCCAGCAGCCCAGCTAGCAATCCAAAACAGTCCAGTGGCACCTTTAAGACCAAGTTTTATTCAAGTACAAGCTCTCCCTCCTCTGCGAGGGCAGATCTACACGCCCCCCCCCCCAATAGCTAGCAATCCAAAACAGTCCAGTGGCACCTTTAAGACCAAGTTTTATTCAAGTACAAGCTCTCCCTCCTCTGCGAGGGCAGATCTACACGCCCCCCCCCCCAATAGCTAGCAATCCAAAACAGTCCAGTGGCACCTGAGTGGTGGGTGTTGCCTTCTGACACACTTCTGGTGATGTCAGGGGGTGTGGCATATGCAAATAAGTTATGCTAATAAATTAAGCTAATGAGCTCCAGCACCTTTTTTTCTACGAAATGACCCCTGAATAGGACTGCTGCTTCTATAGGGGCTTTGGTGAGGTAGGGGGTACCCCCTGAACCCTCCCCCCCTAAATAACAGCCTGTCATGGAAAAGGACCCAGGTCTAGCCTTCTCCTTGGCAGGCTCGTTTTGTATGTACAGGAACTTGTTCACACTGGGGACATTCAAATATGTGATTCTCCCATGTGTATTAAAAAGTGAAGCCCAACAAAAGCCATGCTGTAGTATCTTCTGAGCATATACTTGAACTAGGTGCACGCTCACTACCATGAATGCAAATCAAGCACATGCATGGAACAAGCAATATAAACAGGACTCAAAACTTAATTCTCACATCTGTTTGTTAATTCTTGTATTTGTATTATAATTTACTGCCATTCACAGATCTTAACTGCCTTCATCCAGTTTCAACTATAATCACCCAGCTACTTATGCGTCTTGATTCTAACTAGCTCTCTTCCTATATGTAATAGTTGGGGAAATTCTGTTTCACTGTATCTGAAGAAGTGTGCATGCACACGAAAGCTTATACCTTGAATAAAAATTTGTTGGTCTGAAAGGTGCCACTGAAATCAAACTTTGTTCTACTGCTTCAACAAGGCTACCCACCTGAATCTATCCCCATACCTATGTTCTACATGTAGAATGAACCAAAAACTCCCCAGGTCTTTTCTGGAATTCGTAAGCATTATACTTTGATAGCTGCTTACACTTTGCAGAGCACTCCCCCCCCACACACACACACTTATGCAAGGTGGCCCATCCAGGGTTCAGTAAATGTCCTAGTTCATCGCTTGCTTGGATCTGCAAAACCAGAAAGAGATGAGCAGATGAGTTGTCTAACACTACGTAAGCCACATGGCTACTGGCCTGTATTTGGATTGGTAGGCCACAAACTATATATCTTATCTTCTGACATTACAAAGGGAACCGATTTGCACATCTTCTGGCCACTTCCTTGCACATATTTCTAAAGCACAAGTAGAGAAAGGCAATGACAGAAGCAATGCTGACTGTCTTCCTGATTCCTCTAAAGGTATTCCATTGAATGAGTCACAAGGACAAAGTTCACAGCGGTACAGAAAACACCTGGATAAGCTGGGTATTGCATGCATCTAACCTCTTGAGCCTTTGTTTGCTCTCTTTGAATGTTACTCTGACCTCGTAGTGCTAATATTTTCCTACTGTATTCTTCTGTCAACAGATTTTAGAATTGTTGTGTCAGATCCTGCAGACAGACTCCTTGACAGCTATCCAGCATTGGCTGCTCACTGCTGGTCAGAAAGGTGAGGGGAGTGTGAAGCCTGCAAAAGGCATGAGGGCCATGAGTTGCTTTTTTCTCATCCTTTGAATCCTTCATTGTCTTTACCTTGCTTCCAACAGTCTTGTCCTATTTCACCCTTGTAAGTAATTCTTGCTCCGTGGCTGCTGTCTAGGGTTGTAATTGGGATTCTCAGGGTATGTTGCAGTAATGATAAAAGGCCTGGAGCACTATCTCTACTAAGGAGCTGCAGTGGCTCAAGTGGTTAAGATGCTGAACTGCAGGCTGTGGAAGGTCAGTAGTTCAGCAGTTCGAGACCCGGGTGCCACATGATGGAGTGAGCTCCCATCCCTAGTTCCAGCTCCTGCCAACGTAGCAGTTCAAAAGCAAGAAATTACAAGTAGATAAATAGGTACCACTTCGGTGGGCCACATGACCACGGAAACGTCTTCGGACAGCGCTGGCTCTTCGGCTTTGAAATGGAGATGAGCACCGCAACCCTAGAGTCGGATTCGACTGGCTTTCGAGCAAAGGAACCTTTACCTTTACTCTACTGCACGTGCTTGAAAAACTTTCCATGTGTTACACAATCCCTGACTTGGGTTTGCATCTAAGATCCCATGTGGCAGGGGCCTGCAGCCAATCCCTTGTCCTCCAGTTCAAGTTCCTATATGACACATGCGGGTTTAAACACACATACCTCATTTACACCTAGAACTCCTGGATATGTAAATTATTTCTTGCAAACTGATACAGGTGGAAATGACAAATTGTTGAGGTCATTCAAAAATGCATATGAAAGTGCAGGCAAATGAAAGGAAATGCTAGCATGAAACCAGGAAGGTATACATTTAAGTGGCTTTTCTGATTCACATTCAAGTGGCTTTTCTGATTCACAAAAGCGCTTGATTTCCTCTCCCTGCAGAAAAGAATCTTGTTATGGGACTGCTGCAGATTGCAACTGCTAACCTAAATCTTGAGCCCCAGGAGTTGCCCACAAGCACAGAAGAGAAATTTCCCTTACAGTTTCCCCAAAATGCCACAGGCTTTGCTTCTAGACAACACAGAAGAAATCATCTAACCAGGTGTCATTTTAAATATTTGTTTTCATGTTCGCAAAACAAAATTCCTTCACAGGGATGTTTGCCAAAAAAAAAATCCTTTACAGATACGTGGGAAATAACATCTTATTGATTTCAGAGTCTGCAGATAATAAAATGTTTTTAAAAGATCCTCCATAGACAAATAGTTCACATTTGTCTAAATACCCATTGCAAATGTTATTCCAGGGAGCATGACACTGACCTGAGTAGGGACCATTGCATTTGTCAATACACATGGATCCAGCAGAGACACTACCCCATTGTTTGCATCATGAGAAAAGGGATTCTCTTGTTGCTGCAGACACATATTACTAGTCATTAATTCATTGTGCCAGTTGGAAATCGTAATGGAATTTCGAACCACAGATACACTGAGGATTCAGGTTGATTGTTTACCTTATATGTAAAATACAAAATAACCAATGAAAATACCATATCTGAACACCAGGCCTATAGTTCTTGTCAGAGCAGGTTTTACTGGGTGCTTCTGCTAGAAGGAACAGCACTTTGTCAGCTATGTAAATGTATATAAATAATGGAAGTAAGTAGGTTATAGGAACAGATGATTAAGTCCTTCACATTGCCAGTTTTTATTTTGATGGCTGTTCTGTTGCTTAAAATTAGAAGATGAGTAACATTTTAATTGTGTCAGCTCTGGTTTATGTTATTACAGGCTACCTGTAACAAAGCAAAAAAAAGAACCTAACCCAGAGGAAGAAATGCCAGGTAAAAACACTACTGAACATATTGTGCGCTTTATTATTGTGGCAATGAGTAAAAATACTTCGAAAGACATTGTTTAATTAACCCTATAAGAAAGCAACTTCTGCCTGCGTTTCAAAGGTACTACTGTGACAGGCCAATTAAGGACCATAGCAAGCTAAGTGCAGTGCCAACTTATAGCACCTCGATGCCAAAATGTGCCATGGCCTCTGATGAAATTGTTTGAATACCTTGTATGAGAGTCTTTAACAGGCATACAAATGAGTTTGGGGCCTTGATCCTAAGTTTACTTACTTGAATGGGAGTCTGACTGAAATCAATGGACATTACCATCTCTACATGTGATTAGCACTGTGACATGATACCACAAGCAGCACAGGTCATGGTATAAGAAGAGGAGCAGCAGGGCCCTTGGGTCTGGCTGCCTCTACCATGCTGTGCTGTTGCCTGCCCCTTATGGTGATTAGAGAAAAACCATCCCTCGGTGGACAGTATATGTACCATAGCAGGTGCTACACTGGTACCATTCCATACCTTGGTCTGTTTTTGTGGCACATACCCATAAAGTTGGCCACCGCCATCTTTGATATATGAACTGTGTACAAAGCACCTTGCTGGGATTCTGCACCATCTTCTGAGATCTCACTAGGCATTGCCTTGCACACATTTTGAAGCCTAAAAACTAGAAGCTTGAAAATGGATTGTTTACATGAAAGCTGAGATTCAAAGGATCCGGTATTTTTAATGCTTACACAGTGAAATGTTTGTTTGTTCATTCAGACAATTGAGTCCAACTCTTCACAACTCCATGGACCACATCACACCAGACCCTCCTGTCTTTCGTCGTCCTCTAGAGTTTGCTTAATTTCATGTTCGTTGCATCGATAACACTGTCTAACCATCTCATCCTTTGCCATCCCTTTCTTCTTTTACCTTCAGTCTTTCCCAGCATCAGGGTCTTCTCCAGTGAGTGCTCCCTTCTCATTTGGTGGCCAAAGTATTTGAGCTTCAGCTTCAGTCTCTGGCCTTCCAGGGAACAGTCATGGTTGATTTCTTTTAGGATTGACTGATTTGACCTCCTTGCAGTCCAAGGGACTCTCAAGAGTCTTCTCCAGCACCATAGTTTGAAAGCATCTATTCTTCAGCACTCGGCCTTCCTTACGGTCTCTCTCAACTATACAGAATACCATTGCTTTGACCATACGGACTTTTGTTGGCAGGGTGATGTCTCTACTTTTTATCATGCTGTCTAGGTTTGCCATAGCTTTCCTCCGAAGGAGCAGGTGTCTTTTAATTTCATGGCTGCTGTCATCGTCTGCAGTGATCTTGGATCCCAGGAACGTGAATTCTGTCACTGCTTCCATGACTTCCCCTTCTATTTGCCAAGGAGTGATGGGTCCAGATGCCATGATCTTTGTTTTTTGATGTTGAGTTTCAATCCAACTTTTGCGCTCTCCTTTCACCCTGAAAAAGAGGCTCTTTAGGTCCTCTTCACTTTCTGCCATTAGAGTGCCATCGTCTGTTGATGTTTTTCCCGGAAATTTTAATTCCAGTTTGTGATTCATCCAGGTTATCATTTCGCATGATGTACTCTGCATAGAAATTAATTAAGCAGGTTGACAATATACATCCTTGTCGTACTCCTTTTCCTATGCTAAACCAATCACTTGTTCCATATCCAGTTCTAACAGTTACTTCTTGACCCTTATACGGGTTTCTCAGGAGACATGTGAGGTGGTCTCCCATCTCTTTAAGGACTTGCCATAGTTTGTTGTGATTCACACAATCAAAGGCTTTAGCATAGTCAATAAAGCAGAAGTAGATGTTTTTCTGGTACTCCCTTGCTTTCTCCATAATCCAGCGAATGTTGGCAATTTGATCTTTTGTTCCTCTACCTCTTCGAAATCCAGCTTACACTTCTGGCAGTTCTCTATCCATGTACTGCTGAAGCCTAGCTTGTAGGATCTTAAGCATGACCTTGCTAGTGTGTGAAATGAGTGCAATTGTGCGATAGTTTGAACATTCTTTGGCATTGTCCTTCTTTGGGATTGGAATGTAAACTGACCTTTTCCAGTCCTGTGGCCACTGTCGCATTTTCCAAATTTGCTGGCATATTGAGTGCAGCACTTTAACAGCATAATCTTTTAAGACTTTGAATGGCTCAGCTGGGATACCATCACCTCCACCACCTTTGTTGTTAGTAATGCTTTCTAAGGCCCATTTGACCGCACTCCAGGATGTCTGTCTTGAGGTCAGTGATTACACCGTCGAGGTTGTCAAGGACATTGAGGTCCTTCTTGTATCGTTTTTCTGTGTATTCTTGGCATCTCTTCCTAATCTCTTCTGCTTCTGTTAGGTCCCTACCATTTTTTGTCCTTTATCATGGCCAGCTTTGCACGGAACATTCCCTTGATTTCTCCAATAAAAATTCCCTTGATTTCTCCAATTTTCTTGAAGAGATCTCTAGTCCTTCTCATTCGATTGTTTTCCTCTGTTACTTTGCATTGTTCATTCAGGAAAGTCTCCTTATCTCTCCTTGCTGTTCTCTGGAAATCTGCATTCAGTTGGGTAAATCTTTCTTTTTCACCTTTACCTTTTGCTTTCCTTCTTTCCTCTGCTATTGTAAAGCCTCATCAGAAAGCCACTTTGCTTTCTTGCCTTTCTGTTTCTTTGTTTCTTTGGGATGGTGCTGATTGCTGCCTTCTGTACAATGTCACGAACCTCCGTCCATCATTCTTCAGGCACTCTGTCTATCAAATCTAGTCCCTTAAACCTGTTCTTCACCTCCACTGTATATTCAAAAGGCATGTGTTTTAGGTCAAACCTGAATGGCCTAGTGGTTTTCCCAACTTCCTTCAGTTTAAGCCTGAATTCTGCAATGAGTAGCTCATGATCTGAGCCACAGTCAGCTCCAGATCTTGTTTTTACTGACTGTATAGAGCTTCTCCATCTTTGACTGCAAATTATATAATCAATCTGGTTTTAGTGTTGCCTATCTGTCCATGTGTAGAGTTGCCACTTAGGTTGTTGGAAAAGAGTGTTCGCTATGACCAGCATGTTCTCTTGACAAAACTCTGTTAGCCTTTGCCCAGCTTCATTTTGTTCTCCAAGGCCAGTTACCTTTTGACTTCCAGTTACCTTTTGACTTCCAGTCCCCTCTGATAAGGACATTTTTTTTGGCGTTAGTTCTAGGAGGTGGTGTAGGTCTTCATAGAACCAATCAACTTCAGCCTGTGTCAGTGGTTGGGGCATAGACTTGGATTACTGTGATGTTGAATGGTTTGCCTTGGATTTGGACTGAGATTATTCTGTCGTTTTTGAGATTGTATCCCATTACTGCCTTTCTCACTCTCTTGTTGACTATAAAGGCCACACCATTTTTTCTACAGGATTCCAGATATAATAGTCTTCTGAGTTAAATTCACCCATTCTCATCCACTTTAGTTCACTGATTCCCAAGATGTCGATGTTTAGTCTTGCGATCTCATTTTTGACCACATCCAACTTACCTTGATTCATAGATCTTACAATCCAGGTTCCTATGCAGTATTGTTCTTTGCAGCATCGAACTTTCCTTTCACCATCAGACACATCCACAGCTGAGCATCCTTTTGGCTTTAGTCCAGCCACTTCACTCTTTCTGGGGTTACTTGTACTTGCCCTCTGCTCTTCCCCAATAGCATATTGGACACCTTCTGACCTGAGGGGCTCATCTTCCAGTGTCATATCTTTTAGCCTCTTGTTACTGTCCATGTGGTTTTCTTGGCAAAGATACTGGAGTGGGTAGCCATTTCCTTCTCCAGTGGATCACGTTTTGTCTGAGTTCTCCACTGTGGTCTGTCTGTCCTGGGTGGCCCTCCATGCCATAGCCCGTAGCCTCATCGAACCATGCAAGCCTCCTCGCCACGTCCATGAGAGAAATGACTGAGCACTTAATATATCTCCAAAATCACCTAAATAGAGAGGAATCTTCTTTCACCTTCTTATGATTCATATTAAAGTCAAAGGGAATTTACTGTTACAAAATAGATGGCAGGAATTTATCTTGGATTTCTAAGAACATGTCACAGCATGAGGTCTATATGAAGCCAAACTTTTAAGCAATCCATATCCATAAAAAAGTAACGCTGGCACTTCCTCAAAAATTTCAGGCTTATCAAATTGATCTTTGGCTTGAACAAGTTTCTGTGTGCTTTTTTTTTTAACCTTGGCATTATGCCTGGTCAGAACCTACAAACACTATCTTCTTAGGGAAGGATTTGGTACTTTATAAAAAGTCACACAGCTCTTTAAATAGGTGGTCACCTGAGATGTCCCAGGCAACTGGAAGACATTAATCATTTGTAGCCCTTGCTAGTAGACACCTTGTCCATCCCACACATTTTAAAACTAGAAAGGCGGTTTTCTTTAGATAGCATTCTGATACACTCAACTTGTTATGAAGGAATTTGTGAACTCACCAGCGGTAATGGTGAGCTGACTTCTTGTACTTGTCAGTATAACAGAAGTACACATATGCACCTCTCTAGAGAGACACAAACCACATGTGGGATGGAGGCAAAACCTTATTACATCTACAGAGCCAGTGTGATGCAGTGGTTAGATTATCATGCTAGGGTCTGAGAGAGCTAGATTCAAATTCCACTTCTGCCGTGGAAACTTGCTGGGTGACCTTGGGCCAGTCATACACTGCCAGCCTAACCTACCTCACAGGGTTGTTGTGAAGATAAAATGAATTAGCAGAGAATGATGTGAGCAGCTTTGGGTCCCCATTGGCGAGTAAATTAAGTGAATAAAATAAGTTGGAAGCCTAATAAAAGGAGGCAGGGACCTGAAGAACTTATGTATCTTGTGGCATATAAATGTTTTAAATGAATCCAGGGACATGTTTCACCTACTGCGGGTGCTCTTGAGGTTACTAAACTGGTATCCCGAAAAGCAGCTGGCAAACTTATTGAAACTCTCCTGCAGGTTATTTTCCTTAATGAATTTACCCTGACTGTTTTACAGCCTCTTTGTCTAATGTAGGATTTCAATCAGGGCCACTCTTAGACTGGGTGAGACGACCCACGTCAGATGGCAGATTATGACAGAATGTATGTAGGTTGGCACTTTTAAAATCATTACATTTATTGCTCTGTGTTTACTACCAGTTGTTGTTGTGTCATTTTGATCTTCTGCCTCTGGCATCCAAAAGAATTGTCATTACTTTTTAAATTTCTCATTGATATTCATTAATTAATGATATACCTGCCCTAATTTTCAGCCACACATTAGCTCCCAAAGTGGCTCAATGGAATTAAAAACCAGCACAAATGAGACATTTTAATTGAGTGCTGATCCAGGCATCAAGAAGTCTTGCTCCTATCTGCTCTGGAACGCTACAACCCAGATATATGCTAATGGATATAACAAATTGTTTATCACGCATGCAGACTGCACGAGTAGGCCTGAACTTGGGAGCCTAATGTTATGCATTAGTGGGAGTTTGGGGCAGCAATACTGATTCCCTCTGGTTTGTTGGTTGGTTTGTTTTAAAGTGGCCACAATCTCTGGCTCTGATAAATTTAATGAGTTAACCAAGCCCTCCTCATCTTGGCCATGCTTTCCATTTTCAGTGCGTGTCGGCACAGCAGAAGTTCTCCGGCTCCACTCATCCCTGGATGAGAAGCAAAACCAACCAGACCAACCCAAGTAAAGAGAAATGTCATTCCAGATGAAACTACGCTTGTCACGTGTTTCTCTCCTGCTGTTCACCCAGTGAAAAAATAGCACTGTAGACTACATGAAAAGCTCTTGCACTGAGACCTAACATCACTGAGTTTCCATCATGCAGAGGCACAACAAAATTCAAGGGACCAGCATCCCAATATATTGTTTGTCGGGCCTCTGTTCAGTTCTGAGATTCTTGAAATGATCAATTCCACCACAATGTGTCCCATCTTGGCAATCATCTTAGCAAGATCCAAAAGGAGGGCACGGAAAAGATATTATGTACTAAATATAGTAGAAGCAACTTTGCAGAATGGCTCTAGAGCTTGCAGAACAAGCTTTGAAAGCATGCAACTCCTTTAAAAAATACAACGAATGCTGAGCATGCAGTCCTTTAGGTGGGAGTTTAGGGTTCATTACACACATCATAGTGCAATTAGTATCTCATCTTTCTGCTGTATGACATATTAGTAGACCTGTAGGAGAGATATATGAGCTGGAAAACATGTTCAGAGTTTGGAGGAAATGCCTCTAGGGTACAGGTCCAAGACCAGAATATAAACTGAATCAAAGCAGACTGCCTGCCCTTAGGTAACAGTTAGCTGAACAGGGGGGACATTGTAGTGGGAAAATGCAGTTGTGTATATTAACAGGTATAAACTGTATTTTAGGGTTGCCAGCTCTGACTTGGGAAATACCTGGAGATTTGGGGGTGGAGCCTGGGAGGGCAGGGGGTATCAGCAGGGTACAAGAACAGAGACCCCACCCTCCAAAGCAGCCGTTTCCTCCAGGGAAACTAATCTCTATTATCTGGAGATCAGTTGTAATACTGGGAGATCTCCAGGCCCCGCTTGATAACCTTCATATTCATGGACAGCTGGAATCCTATGAGCAGAAGGCAGACACATTTCAGCTGGAGTGTCGAGGACTGAGGGGTTGAGCCATCACAGGAGGTTTCTTTAAGGCCACCAGCCAGTTTGAACCTTAGGCTGAAGGCCAGTTATACAGCTTGGAAAAGGGCAGCTATCCCACATTAGCAGTTTAAAATGCAGAGAGAAATGGTGGTTTCCTTGAGCTCTGTGGGGTATCTGTCTTTCCCTTAAGCACCTACGGGCCGGGCAGCAGCACCAGACAATGAAAAAGGGTTGGCTTTAATTGAATCCACTACCTTGCCCAACACCTTAAATGTATTTTATTTCAAACATTGCTAACACAGAGACTATAAGGTGCTTCCTGTTGGTCTCAGCTTGGAAGGGAAGCGTGTTCCTCGTTTGACATTTGGGACCATTTTGGATGGACTTGGGGATGGTTTCCGCATTTCTATGAAAGAAGAACAAAGAATGGATGGCGTGGACTGCATCCAGATTGCCAGAAAATATGCTGAGAGGCAATGTCACACTATCGATAAAGTTCAGCTAACTGCCTGCTTTTATCCCTTGTACGATGCATACAAGACCAGACCTTAGCCCCGTGGCCTGAAGATTCTGCTTTCTCACCTTTATCTTTTTAAATTTTGTAACATCAGCCTGACGAAGAGTTCTGTTTGAGCTCAAAAGCTTGCAGAATGCTTTGTGTCAATTTGGTTGCTCCTAATAAAAGGCATTACATGGATTTTGGTTCTTGTTCTGAAAAAATCCTGACCAGATGGAAGCAACTTATATCACACCAGGTGATAGTAGCTGACCTGACCTGGATGGCTCAGGCTAGCCTGACTGTGTCAGAACTTGGAAACTGAGCAGGGCCGGTTTGTAGTTGGATGGGAGACCTCCAAGGAAGTCCAGGGTCACTATGCAGAGGCAGGCAATAGCAAACCACCTCTGAATGTCTGTTGCCTTGAAAACCTTACAGGTTCGCCATATAGAATTATAGAGGTGGAAAGGACCTCCGGGGTCATCTAGTCCAACTTTCTGCACAGTGCATGAAATTCACAAATACACGCCCCCAGTGACCCCTGTTCCATGCCCAGAAGATGGCAAAAAACCTCCAGGATCACTGACCAAACTGGCCTGGAGAAAAATTGCTTCCTGACCCCCAACATGGTGATCAGCATTTCTGCAGGTGTGTAAGAAAGGGCCACAAGAACTAAGCACTGATACAACCCTCTCTGCCCTCCTCTCATGAGCTGCCTAAGTTCACAGAATCAGCTTTGCTGTCAGATGGCCACCTAGCCTCCATTTAAAAACCTCCAGTGAAGGAGAGCCCACCACTTCCCGAGGAAGCCTGTTCCACTAAGGAACCGCTCCATCAGGAGGTTCTTCCTAGTGTTTAGCTGGATGCAACTTGATGGTGCTTTACACACACACAATGGTAATTGTTAGAACCCTGACAGAAAATGAAGGAGGGTTCTTCCGGATTTCTAAAGTATGTGAGAGCAAGCTGAGAAGTTTTGTATTTTCTTTTTGCCACATGATGAGGATCATGATGGCCCAAAGCCAATACAAAATGTCCTCTCAACTGCCTGAGCCATAAGAAGAAAAGCCCAACCAGACAGTCACATCCCATGTCACCCCTCAATTTCCCCTCAGTGTCCATGAATTGTCCTCAGTCCTAGATCTCTTTAGTTGGGGGCCATTCCAGTCCAGCTCCTCCCCGATGCAACAAAGTAATGTGACCAGCCCTTAACTATGCAGGAAAAATCCATGCTGCAAATCCTCCCCAAATCAGCTCCAGTACACAGAGAAGATGTGTGGTCCACAGCCGGGGGGGGGGGGGGGCTGGGTCCAGGAAGAAGCTGAGAAGGTGCAGTGGCCTCATTTCAGCACCTGTGCTTGCCATCCCCACTTCTGGACTTCAGATGTTATTTTTGCAATATGCAGCAGCTCCCTACCATTGCCACATTCTCCAAGCTGTACATTCTGCTATGACCTTTTGTCCTTGCTGTATCGCCTAACGCCTTCCCTTCCCCAAAACTGTGACCTACAATCATTATCTGAAGAAGTGAGCAGTGTCTCATGGAAGCTCATACCCTGCCACATATTTTGTTCGTCTTTAAGGTGCTACTGGACTCTTGCTCTTTTCTACTACAGTAGCAGTAGGGTGAGGGGAAGCCACTAAGGCCAAAGACGCTTTCAGGGGGAGAAACAAGATAATGCCACAGTCAAAACTATTTCAATACCCTATCTTCCAGACAACTGAGAATTCTCTTAACACTGTTAAATACAGTCATGAGAAGTCCAAGTGATTGTCTGAAAAGTGGTTGCCTTCTTCACAGTTTTGGACACTTCCATGCCTGGAAAATGTTGCCGGGAAACGCGGGGGGGGGGAGGCATGGCTTTTTGCGCCGGCACAGTGTGTCCCGCTACAAATGTGATCAGACGCGATGGCAGTTTCCTTCCTTGGCGCACTCCAGTGATGCAAGAGAAGCACGCTGGAGCGATCACACGAAGAGAGTCGTCAGCGGCCTGTCGCAAGCCGTTTGCTAGTGGACTTTATGAGGTACCTTTTAACTCCACATCTTCGGCCGGCTGCGATGGGTGCACTACACTGGCCAGATGTTGCTGTGTGATTGCGCCCTTATAATCCGCCTGGCATTCGTACCACTCCCGCGGAAACTTCTGTGTCTGATCAGGGCCTTTGACTTGTAAATAAATAGAAAGGTGGAAGAAGTGGCTAAAATGATGAAAGAAGAAGAAGAAGAAGAAGAAGAGATTGGATTTATACCCCGCCCTTCACTACCGAAAGGTGTCTCAGAGTGGCTTACAAACTCCTTTCCCTTCCCCTCCCCACAACAGACACCCTGTGAGGTAGGTGAGGCTGAGAGAGCTCTTGACAGAAACTGCTCTTTTTCAAGGACAGCTCTTATCAGAACTACGGCTTGCCCAAGGCCATCCAGGCAGGTGCAAGTGGAGGAGTGGGGAATCAAACCCGTTTCTCCCAGATTAGAGTCCGCGCACTTAACCACTACACCAAACTGGCATTTGATTTTTTAAAACGCTCTGTTCTGAAATGCTCCCAATATTTTAATATTTCAGAATAAATGTATGAATGAATAAATGCTATATTTGGGTCACAAGGTTTGTTTTAAACTTAATGTTTTGCTGGTAAACGTACAAAATGCTTGAGTCATGCTTGCTTCCACAGCACATATCCCAAAATTGGAATGATGAAGAGAAAATTAGCAGGGCCCCTGTGCAAGCGCTCACTTCAGCAGCACATGTACTAAAATTGGAATAAAATGCTTGAGTTATGGAGCTTGCTTTGGGTAGACACCAGTCATGACTGAGCATGTGAACTGGCTTGATTCCTGCTCTCACAGGCCCAATCTGCACCTAGCATTTGCTCTGCTGTTTTACCAAACCCAAGCTGGAACAAAAATTCCCGTCTACAGTGCATGCCACTTTCACTTTGATTGATTGTCGGATTTTATGGCAGTGTCCAGACTGCATGCTGCTTTCACTTCATTTGCTCTCTGGGGTTTTATTGTACCATCTGCATAGACTTATGGCCGTTTTATGGCCATTCAGGGGTGACTCTGCAGTCAGTATGGCATTGGCCTGGGATATCTAAATGTGGTTTTGAGCTGCATCTTCTTCTGTTCCACCAGTGTAGGTTGGTAAAACAGTGGAGCAAATGCTAGACACCTATCATTGTCTAAACAAATAATCAAACAAACTCTCTAAGCCATCTAGATCCTTTAATGGAGGCCTGAAGTCACATCACAAGGGTGTGAATGGCCTACACATGCACTTAAAAGGGAAAGGTTCCCTTGCTCGAAAGCCAGTCAAATCCGACTCTAGGGTTGCGGTGCTCATCTACATTTCAAAGCCGAAGAGCCAGCGCTGTCCGAAGAAATTTCCATGGTCATGTGGCCAGCATGACTAAACACCAAGGCGCACAGAACACTGTTACCTTCCCACCGAAGTGGTACCTATTTATCTACTTGCAATTTCTTGCTTTCGAACTGCTAGGTTGGCAGGAGCTGGAACTAGAGGTGGAAGCTCACTCCGTCATGTGGCACACTCAGGTCTCAAACTGCTGAACTACCACCTTCCACAGCCTGCAGTTCAGCGTCTTAACCACTTGAGCCACCGCAGCTCCATGCACATGCACATGCACTTAGCCATCAGTTAAAAAGGAAAAGCCCTCCTTCTTTGCTTGGAAAACACCTAGCTTTTGCACTGCCATATTTACCAGTAACATTTGCAAATTAATAATATCAAAGGAACAATCTGAACCAGCTGCCCTGATGTGCAAATTTTTAATTCCAATTTTAATATCTTTTTTGTTCTGAATTATTTCCTTTCAAGTGGTTCCCTTTAATGCATGCATGTTAAGAAAGCTCTGCCCGCAAACAGAACAAGACACGTCTGGCTGAAATGGCACCACCTTCACAAAGCTCTGTTCCTTCCTCCCTTGCAGCCAGTCCCTTGAAGTAACCTGATCCGGGCAGCTGGAACACTGAGGCCTCAGAAGCTGGGGGGATGGGGGGGGGAGACACCTCCTCTCCTTTGCTTTGGCTGTTTCCCTTTGGAGGAAGGGCAGGGAACCTTTAATGCACTTTCCCAGCAGACATGGCTGATGGGAATGGAGTACAAAGGGCTATTTTACAAAAGAGGGAGAGAAAGAGAGTGCTGCTCTGTGCATGGGACCTACACAGGCAAATCCCAGTGGCTGGTCTGCTCCACTTCAGAATGCCTTTTTTGGCACCAAGGCTGTTTCACAAGCATTCAAGTCCTTGAGTATCTTGCACTTCTGCTGATTAATCATTTGCTTCCCTTTGTGATGTGTAATTTAGGGATAGGGAGCAGATCAGGTCTGCCCACATGGCATTATGAATCTAGTCTGCTTCACCCATTCTTATAGGATCCCCCCCCCCTTCACATCCCTGAACAGGCTGGATTCTCTGTCCAGCAACATTGCCCTGCCTTTTGATTCAGGCACACGATCCACATCATGACCTGTCAAGCAACGTCAAGATACTTATGGCTACTTTTCTTTGTCTTTCCCAGCACCACAACAGGTAAGAGTCACATAGCATTTACATTGGGGAGGGGGAATGAAATGTCAAAATATCCACTTCAGGTATGTGTATGCGTGTCTGTTTTAAATTGTGTACAAAGCTCACAAATTGTATACAGAGTTGTCAGGTGCTTATTGCAATCGCAGAACAGCCAAGTTCTGAAAAGGCTCACTTTTCTCGTCCTTTTATGTCCCATTTATTGGCATGGCAACTAACAACAAGTGAATCTCCAGGGTTCACAGACAGTTCTCTTTGAATCTCTTTCAGATTCCTGGGACTCAAAACAGGGTCTTTGAGTTTTCTCAGGGCAGCAGGCACCTGTTGGCTTCAGTGATACTGAGAAAGGCAAAACCGAATGGTGCTGAAAAGTACAAACACTGTTCGCAGCTACTTAATGGTCTGCACAGGGCCCTTGCCTGGGAGGGAGGTACGCCTTCCTGTGGTTCAGAAGAGGCTTCAAGTCTATTACCATGACATGGTGTATTTTTTATCATTTCAGGGGTTGGGGGGATCCTGAGATTGTGCAGACGGGATAGAAAATGGAAGTGAGTGGCATGTTACAAGTTTATGCTGTACTCAGGGACATTACGTTTGGGCCATATCAATACTACACAGTTATTTATAGATTTAAACCCTTTTGGGATCCAAAGCAGCTTACAACACCCTTCTCCTCTCCTCAGTTTTTATCTTCACAACAACCACCCTGCGAGGTAGGCCCTGCCGAGAAAAATTGACTGGCCCAAGGTCGCCCAGTGAGTTTCCATGGCAGAGCAGGGATTTGATCCTGGTTCTCCCAGGTCCTAGTCTGGCATGCTAACCATTACACCATGCTGGCTGGACACCTACCCTCCCCCCCTTTGACACCTGAACGAGGCAGCTAAGTGAAAAAAATGCAAGCCGCTGCTTCAATCACATCTGCTTTGGCCCTGAACGTTTGTAGCTTACAGACTTCTGTGCACCCATCACTACTTTGCAAATCCGAGCTATTCATTTCGTTAACATTGGATCTGCTGTGAACTTTTTTAAAATGTGCTTCTGAATTCCTGATTTAAATTACTTATGACGGTTATTCGATTATTACAATAATTAAATCATGTGTCGTAAAAAGACATAACATACTCCTTAAAACATGTAACATACTCACACAGACACATGAAGCTGCCTTATACGGAATCAGAGCCCTGGATCAAGGTCAGTATTGTCTGCTCAGACTGGCAGCAGCTCTCCAGGGTCTCAGGCTGAGGTCTTTCACATCACCTCCTGCCAGATCCTTTCACTGGAAATGCCTGGGACCTTCTGCATGCCACGCAGATGCACTATTACTGAGCCATGGCCTCCCCCCAATCAGAATACCCTGCTGCTTTGGTAAAGAGAGTCTTGCAAGTAGCCATTTCATGTATGGAGGCTTAGTTTGAATGCAAACAAATAGCACCTTGAAGACTAAACTCTGTTGTGACATCAATTTTTGCAATTTTAAGTACCCCCTGCTTGAAAATGAAACCCTATTAACTCTCTGGTGCACACTTCAAAGTAAACTTGGATGGGGATTAATATCTATTATTAGCCCATTCAGCTATCAGCCTCAAGACAGTTTAGTTCCTCTAACTGGTCTATCACTGATTGCTATTATGTCTACTGAGAAGGGCAGGGAAAACACTATCAAACCATCGCACTCAAAGTGTTTGGACTCATCATATATTACTGGTCACAAAGGAGTACACTGGTTAGAGAGCTGTGGTTAGGGTGCTAGAATGAAATCAGGGAATCCCAGGTTTCAGTCCCCACTTCGTCATGAATGTTTTCCCAGAAGTAAGCTCCACCTGTATTCAATGGGGCTTACTCAAGGTTAATGTCATGGAAGTGGCCTTGAGACTAACCTCTCTCAAAGGGTCACTGTGACCATCCAGCGAGGAGAGGAGGATTCCTGGCTTCTGCATTTCCAGCAGACTCGATCCCCACCTTGCTTACGTCGAACAGCTTTAACTCATCCTTACCTGCAGGCATTTAAGTTATTTCAATGTCGGGCTCTTTTACAGAAAACCTGGAGGCTCCATCTTTTCAGCCTGGAATCCTGTATCAGTACCGATACTCACTGGACGCCCAGTTCAGTTATCTCTCCAGATCATCATGGCAAAGAAGCAAGGTCCAGGCTGAAGCACTAGTTCACATCCACCTCCTATGGAGAAATGTCAGTGATGCAAGGGAGCACCTTCTCCAAGTTGAGGTCAGTGACCTGAATTGGTTTTAAGCCCCTGGGGACAACACTGATACTCTAGCACTATTGAATGCTGAGGGTTCCTTTCGCCATATTCAGGCAGACATGACGGGCTGGCTCGGGAGCAGAAGGAAAATAGTCAGTAGCACTGTTCTGCAATCCTTTATATTTATTTATTAACTCATTATTTATTAAAACATTTACATCCTGCGTTTCCCTTGTGGCTTATGATGCAAAATTAAAAACATCCCCATTAAAAACACTCAGAAACAAAGCAGTCTTACAGCACGTCCAAAAATCCTCCAAGGACGGCACCTTCCTCAGGGAGCCCACTGGGGAAGTACAGGCTCAGGCAGAGGCCAAGCAAGCAATTGTACTCAGGGAGAGGGGGAACAGCAAGCAGGGGACAGCGAGAGAACCGCAAGTGGTGCACAGGAAGTATGGGGAAAGGTGGTCTTTCCGATAGGTAAGTCAAGGGACTTTAAAGGCCATAACCAGCACCTTGAACTGGACTTAACCTAGCAGCCAACATCAGCATCTTAAAAATAGATCAGACTTATTCCTGTTCCTGACGATAATCAGGCTGCCATACTCTGAACCAGTTTCAGTTTCTAGCTTGTCTTCAAGGACAGCTCCATCTAGAGCTTGCTACAGCAGTCCAATGAGTTTTGTGGTTATGGATCGATTAGCACGGCCAAGTTGTCAGAGTCTCAGAAATGGGAGAGTTGGTGAATCAGATGAAGCAGATAGAAAGTGCTCTTGGCCACCAGCCAACCTGCTTTCCAACCAGCATGGCTGGGTTCATGAGCGTTGCATTCCCAAGCTCTCCAAATGTCAGGTCCATTCCATCACAACAAGCAGATCCAGTCCCTCCAGACTGCCAGGCTTCCTCACCAGCATCACCCCTATCTTTTCTTGACTCAGATTCAGTTTCTTCTGCCTCAGACACTTGACCAGGACCTCAAGCATTGCCTCAGACTGAGATGGACATATCTTGAGGCTTCACCAATGAAGTATAGAACCGGGCTCAGGCGGGTAGCCATGTTGGTCTGAAGCAGCAAAACAAAGTTTTAGTCCAGTGGCACCTTTAAGACCAACAGAGTTTTATCCAAGAATGGACTCAAACTTTACAGAACTGGGTGTCATCATATGGATGATATCCAACCATAAAGGTCTGGACAATCTCATTCAGCAACCACTTATAAATATTGAAGAGCACAGGTGACAAGATTGAGTTTAAATACTCCACAAGGCAGATATTAATCTATTGACTCCTCTGGTAGAAACTTTGATCAGATAGAAAGACTGAAACCACCAAAGGTCTCTATCTCCAGTATCAATTAGAGTTGCCGCCCCCAGGTCTGAGTGGGGGTTACCCCACTTTTGAGGGCTCCAATCTGCCCCCGGCCAGCTGGCCGGTGGGGGAAACCCTGCCCCTAAGCACAACCACTCTCCCTCCCTTTCTGCCAGATTTGAAGGGCTACAGATGATCACTGGGGACCACATGGCCTGCCGATCAGATGGAGGGTCCTTTAAATCTAGCAGGAAGGATGGAGAGGGGTGGTCGCCAGCTGCATGCTCAGCTCGCAAAAAGGCCCTTTAAAGGGTCTTTTTTACAAGCAGGATGGGGGCTGCGGCACACAGGGCTGGGGAAAATCAGCCTCACACGCTGCGGCCCCCACCTGCTCACAAGCCGAGCATGTGGCCCACAACCACCCCCTCCCTCCCTCCCTCCCTCCTGCAGATCAGCTGAAGCCCTTTAAAGGATGGAGAGGGGTGGGTGGTCATGCTTGGGGGCAGGGCTTGGGGACAGGGCTTGGGGGTGTCCCTGCCCACCCGTAGAGCACCCCCCCCCAATTCCCCCCACTGGAGTGAGGAGGGAAACTGGCAACCCTAGTATCAACCCAATATTCTAACTGATGGAAAGGTGTCCTCTGTTTTGTCAAAGGCCTATTTTTCTGTCCTCCTTCAGATGAAGATCACCCACCAGTGCAACCAAGCCATCTTGATTCTGAAGCTAGGCCTGAAATCAGACTGAACTGAGACAAAGCTGGACACAGCTCAAATAGTAACCCTTCAATATTTCCAGCAGAATCTCTGTTTAACAGGATGCCTATTTAAAGGAACATATTATTTAAAATTTTCTTGCATACAAAGAGCTTACCTTCAGTCACACAGCAAAGTATTTTGGTGGCAGCTGCTGTTGAAAGCAGCTTTTAAAAAATTTGCACAGCCAAGCAGCTCTCCAGGGGTTGATCAGAAGCCTGCCCACTTCCTGAAAACACTTGGCAGGTGTCGGAAAACTGGTTGACAGGCTGCATGGTAACCACTTGAATCAAAGGGTACAATACCCTTTCCCAGAATGCTTTCAAAAGTCAGGATGGGCAAGGATCAAGAGCAGAAGTGATGGCTCTCATGATCCCATAACCATAGTCAGCATTAGCATTGGCAAGGACAATCTGAATCCATCCATAGAAAAGGGAGAAGCAGCACCAGATTTACTATCAACCTGGCCTCTAAGTCAGAACAGATGAGACAGAAGACCTGTTCAGAAGTTACAGTCCTATTCATATACAAACCATGTACAGTGCACACTTGATTTTTCTGTATGTGGTGCATTTAGTGATTCTCATGTTTTATTCAACACATTTACAGATGAACATGTGATTTAAACCCCACAGTTATCCATGTCCTGATCCCTTTTTTCATTTGTAAAGTGGATATGCACTGGGTCTTTCTTAAAAAAAACAGAGCTACGTACATACCTGCAGGGTGTACATGTGTTATGGTTGCCAAACTCAAGGTAGAGCCTGGAGTTCTTCTGGAATTACAATGGATCTCCAGTCTAGGGATGGGCACAGACCTTCCCACGAACCCAAATTCAGTAGTAAAATCACCCGGGGTTGTAGTTTGCAAACTGAGGTTCGTGCAACCCCCCCCCCTCCATTACCCTCTGTGGTTTTTTGGAGGTTCGTGTGAGTCGTGGTGGGAAGCAAGGAGGAGCGAGAGGGATCGCTGAAATGGTTTGCATCCATTTCAGACTAATAGTGGGGCTAGTGCACCCATCACCTGTTAGGCTGGAACAGATGCAAGCCATTTCATTGATTCCTTCCATGTCCCCCCACGAAACAGAGGGTTTTAATGGCTCACAGCTGCAGCAGGACACCTTCAGATTCAACCCTATGGATCTCTTTTGCTAATAGTGGCACTTTACTCTGGCACAAGGGCATGTCCCCTCATGAAAGAGGCTCTTTATCAGTGTCAGGAGAAGAGTACTTGAAACATAAGAAAGCACCGCCATTAGTAGAACAGATCCTGGGACTCAGGGCCACCAAGAAGGGGAGGACTGGGGGGACAAATTCCAGGGGCCCAAATCAGCTGGAGGGCCCCTGAAGCCAGCATGATGCGGCATCTGTCAGAATGTATTTCCATTCATTTTACTTATAGTGCAGTTCTGGCTGCAGCCACTAGGGGCACAGGGAAGTCTAAGGAGTAAAAGGCCCTCTGACTATTGGCTAGCCTCACCTTATTGGTATTTTTTTGGTATATTTTGGCTTTCTGAATGTATCCAGGTTTTCTTGAGAAAACCAAAAAAATTCCTGAGAAAATCCTGGATATATTCAGGAATTACCAGTAGATCTGAAGAAAGCAGAGAGGTGGGAGCAATATGCAGTCTCTTAGCTGGAATCTCTCAAATGTTTGTCGGGCTTCTATTGCAGTCCCTTTAAAGTTTGGGCTGGCTTTTTAAAAACTGGTATTTTAAAAAAACTGGTATTGGAATCTTGGATTTTTTGAAAACGCTGAAATTTTATTGGGTCCAATAGACCTGAATTGAAAAATACCAATTAAAAAAATTGCACACCCTTAATGGTAAGTCATTGCCAGGCTGCAGTCTACAAACAAGGTTGTTGCTCCAGCAGTCTATCCTTTCCCTCTTCCTTTCCTCGTACCCAGTTTCAGTGTTTTTATCTGTCCAGCCAGTTCTTGCCAAGTGGTTGTTAGTGTGTCACAGCAAGATAAAAACCACCTTTCCCTCTCTTTTCCTTAATTTCTTTCCTTTTCCATGCTTTTCTCTTTCTTCGTTCATTTCTGTTTCTTTCATGATCTGCCTTCATTTTTCTCTCCCTCCCCCTTCTAGTTTTTCCATGTCCCCACCCCCATTATTTTCCAAGTCTTTGTCTGAACTCCTTCTTATCCATATCCTGCTTGGCAACTTAGAATGTACTTAGTAGCAGTATAGTAACAAAGCTTTTTTAATATTATGAACAGAACGGAGGATTAATATTTCCCCATGATCTAACAAAGTAGTAAAAGGATGCTTCCCCCATCACATCCTCTATGTGCATGGTAGTGGAATGTTAATCAGTTTTAGTGGTTATACATATGGAACAGAAGTTAGAACTCCCAGTTCAGGCACTAGATTGTTGTTGTTGTTGTTGTGTTGGGGGAACATCTAACAGCCTTTTGTAAGGGCTACTTTTTAAAATGACAAATAATGCGATATTTTTAGATAATGTCAGCAAAATCAGTCCCAATGATCCCAGTACTTCGCATCCAGCACCACTACATAGCCCAGTTTGCCCCCCTGCCACTTTTGTGCTAGATAAAGGTACAAGGATAAACAAATCAATTTCTTACTGACATGATGTTTTTGTGAACTAGAGCCCACTTCATCTGATGCAAGAAGTGTATCCTGTAAAAAAAGACACATACATGTGTGTTACAAAATTAGACTCATGGCTACAGAGAGTAATACCGAGAGGCACAGGCTGTGTAAACAGAGATGAGGAGGGAATTTTGACAGGCAGAGCTTGTCTGGAAAGAGGGAGGAAAGCTGCTCATGCATCTTTTACACAATTGTGATGGCTTCTATAGATACAAGGAGCCTAGCCCTGATTGCCATGCTTGCAATATTTAACAGCATTCTGAATACTGAATGATCAAGTCTTCCACCTGCCAAAAGTGTTGCAGCAATACTTGATGAAGCAACAGTAATAGTTATCATCATTTTTTATGAACTGTATGCAAAATTAGATTTATAACAAATGTCATACCCAGTCTTTCTCCCCAGTAGGGACCCACAGCAGCTTCCATTGTCCTCCTGTCCTCCGTTTTATCCTCACAACAACCCTGAGGTAGATCTGGCTGACAGCATGTCACCCAGCAGCCTTCCATGACAGACTGGGGATCTGAGTATGAGAAACACGTGACAGGTTGCTTAAAAGCTCTCTTATTACAAATTGTCTGTTGTGGTCCAGGATTTTGTAGTTCCCTCCATTTTTGGCACCACCAACTCCCATCATCATTCTGGGGCTGGCAACCAGTTTTTGAAGATGTAGGATTATTTTCTCACAAGTTATGCCTGCCATAAACAGAGACCCTTTGCAAATAGCACCGGGGTTGTCTGGAGATAACCTGGGCTGGGATATTCCAATGCTTTTCATTTTTGGCAATGGGAAAAAAATAATATTTGGTCAATAGCAATATCTACACAGCTACACAGAAGAAAGACAATATCTACCTGGAACTACATCTACACAGCCCAGTCCTCAATGAAACTTTCAGAGTTTTCCTTTGAGACTTTGGTGCAGTTTCTGCACAACCTCCTTCTGATTCTTTTTTTTCCCCCTCCAGCAAGGTAGGACAATAATCTACCTGATTCTCGGTCTGTGGGTATAGGCATTGTAGTGGTTTGAGGGAGAGGCAAAAAAGTCAACCACAAGAGAAGAGTTAGGCCAAAAGGGTCACAGAAGCAATGAAAGCCCTGCATGCTGCCCTCATGAAGACCGGGTATCCTTCTAGGTGCAAAACTGTGTCTTGGATTTAAGAGCTGTATACATCTACAGCATACCCACTGTGTCTTTAAAAGCATTTCACTCATTCTAAAAAATAAAATATTTCTTAGGAGTTTTTTCTCAGTGCTCCCCAAATGTTTCAGTTTTTCCATCAGAAAAACTGGAGGGGGGGAGGCCTTGGAGGGAAAAAAGGAAAAAACTGGATTTTTAACTGATTTTGTTCTGTGTATTCCCCCCCCCCCCAAGCCTTCACATCTCTAGTGAAGGGAAGCGGTTTTCTGTGTGTTTTTAAAAGGTCATCTGAAGATGATAGAAAGCTGATCTGGCAACATTTGTGACTTGAGGTGTGCAAAAAAAAAATGCCGGTATTTTTTGGCTTCGGGTACATCAGACCCAAAAAATATCGGTAAATGCCAAATTTCCCCAGTCCAATACCGGTAAGGTATTCAGATTGGGGAAATATTCAGCCAGCATTGCTGAATATATTTGGGGCTGATTTACACCACCAGAGGGAAAGGAGGCATATTAAAATGCCTTCTTTCCTGCTGGTAGCCCCTATAGATTTCCCTGTCAATTTCACTCCCTGCTAATCAGCTGAGAGTGAAATTGACAAGGCGTTGTCATTGGCGTTAATAACGCCCTATCAAGAGTTGGGAGTTGGATTCCAATTTCTCTCTCTGCCTTCCATTCTCTAGCTCATATGTCCTAGCTGGAGATGGGCAGGCAGGGAACCCAGGCACATTTAAAATGCCTTTTTTCCCCTCCCCGTGGCAGCGGGACACTTGGAGAAGATCAGAAGGGGAACTCAGGCATGTTTAAAAGGCCTTTCTTTCCCTCCCCGATCCATCAGAAGCCAGAACACAAGAATTCAGGCATTTAAACCCAACAGCTGACTGGCGGCTCAGGCTGCTAGGTTTGAGTCTTTTTTTCAGTATAGCAAAAAGAACCCCCTCCAAAAAAAGCCGGATAATATCGGCTTTTTCAAGTTTAGCTATACCAGTAGCCGAATTCGGCTTATGTGATACCCGATAAATAGCAACAAGGTATTTTTTGGGTATCTTTTTGGTTCGGCTATAGCCGAATGCACACACTTATTCGTGACTTGGGCCTCTATGGAAAGCAAGGCATCCAAGATCACGCCCAAGCTCTTTACTGTCAGCATTGGCGTTAATAACGCCCTATAAAGAGTTGGGAGTTGGATTCAAACCCACCCCCCTTAGTTTCAGCTGGCTCTGCTTTAACCAGCCAGCCATGGCCTCCAAAGCCCTGGTCAAAACATATGGGGCAGTGTTTAGTCAGCCGTCCATCAACAGATACAGCTGGTTGTCATCAGCATATTGGTGGCAACCCAGCACAATCCTTCAGTCCAACTGGGCAATGATGGGAAATGAAATAAAAACAGATGCAAAGCCATTCTCCTTGAGATCAGTGGCTATCAGAATCCATGCTACATAGCACTGAATCCTCCTGATGTCCTTCTGTCCATTTGTATATCTTAGATACATAACCTACAAGTCCATCACAAGCCAGAACACAAGAAGAATCAGACTAATAACAGCAGTCCCTCCACAGACGTTTCTCCAAACACCACTGAACTGCAACAGCCTATTTTCCTTCACTGGTATAATGGAAAGGTATGTTAATATTTATTTGTGCTATTTAATAATCTCATTTTCATTCCAGCTTCTGATTCATGCAAGCTAGCCAGCATTCTTCTAGATACAGATGAGTTACGGTCAACCTTTCTCAGTGGTATAGTAATTTTTATGTGCACAGTGGTTACCACCGTAAGGAGAAACTCTTCAGTCTATAAAGACTGATTTCCACCAGTTGATGGGAGTACAAGCAGTGTAAGTGGCCACTCCCTGCTAGTAAATAAGTAATGTACCCTCCACCTCCACAGTCTAACCCACTAAAAGCTCAGAGGAGGAGACGGAAGTTACTGTATATGACAGTCACCCAATCATTTTATGCTTTTACATGTTTCACAGTTAAAATTAGGATAGGGCTATAGATGCTATCGAATTATGGTACTGGAGAAAACTCTTGAGAGTCCCTTGGACTACAAGGAGATCAAATCAGTCAGTCCTAAAAGAAATCAACCCTGAGTGTTCCCTGGAATGCCAGACACTGAAGCTGAAACTCAAATACTTTGGCCACCAAATGAGAAGGGAGCACTCACTGGAAAAGATCCTGATGCTGGGAAAGCCTGAAGGTAACAGAAGAAGGGAACGTCAAAGGATGAGATGGTTAGATAGTGTTATCGATGCAATGAACATGAAACTGAGGAAACTCCGAAGGACAGAGAAAGACAGAAGGGCCTGGTGTGATGTGGTCCATAAGGTCACAAAAAGTCAGACTCAACTGTGCAACCGAACAACAACAACAAGTAATTAGTCCTTGATGACTATGGTTAGAATGGTTGTTTCTCTGAAGTTATACATTATATTAATTAAATGAAGACTCCCAGGAACATCCCAGCCCTCACTACATATGCATAGGGCAGAACACTCATGAAGATAAAATCCATTTATGAAAGACTGGCTCTTCAGATGCACCAAAATGAGATCATTACCTTTCTACTCGTAGCAGTAAGGGCAAAAAAAATTAAAATCTTAAACCGAGTCTTTTTGCCAGAAACCAGGAAATTAGACCAGTCAGTCTAATGTCTGTCCCAGGCAAATTAGTAGAAACTGTAATCAAAGATAGAATTGTTATAGGCACATAGAGAGACAAAGCCTGCTGAGGAAAAATCAGAAAAGGGAAGTTCTGCTTCACAAGCCTTCTGGAGGTCTTTGAGAAAGTGAACAAGCATGTAGCAAATGGTGACCCAGTAGACATATACCTGGACTTTCAAAAGGCTTTTGACAAGGTATCTCACCCAAGACTGTTGAGTAAACTTAGCGGTCATGGGAGAAGATGACGGGTTCTCTTATGGATTAAAAACTGATTAAATGACAGGAAGCAAAGAGTAAGGATCAATGGACAGTTCTCACAGTGGGGGGAAGTAAGCAGTGGGGTCCCACAAGTATCAATATTGGGGCTGGTACTATTTAATTTATTCATCAGTGATCTGGAACTAGGGCTGAGTAGGGTAGTGATCAAGTTTGCAGATGACACCAAATTATTCAGGATGGTGAAAACCAAGGCTGACTGTGAGGGGCTCCAAGAGGACCTCCACAAACTGGGTGAGTGGGCGACAATGTGGCAAATGAAGTTCAATGTTGGTAAGTGTCAAGTGATGCACATTGGGACAAAAAAATCCCAGCTTCAAGTATAGGCTAATGGGGTCTGAACTTGCTGAGGCTGAGGGAGAAAAAGATCTTGGAGTTGTAGCGGATAGCTCAGTGAAAGTGTCAACCCAGTGTGCTGCAGCGGTGAAAAAGGCAAAATCTATGTTGGGGATTATTAGGAAAGGGAGTGAGAATAAAACAGCCAATATTGTAATACCCCTGTATAGATCCGTGGTGCAGCCTCATTTGGAATTCTCTTCACTGTATCTTAGAAAGGGAATTACAGATCTGGAAAAAGTACAAAGGAGGGGGACTAAGATGATTAGGGACTTGGGGCACCTTCCATATGAGGAAAGGTTGAAGAGTCTGGGACTTTTCACTTTAGAAAAGAGATGACTAAGGGGGACCATGATAGAAGTTTATAAAATTATGGGGTGGAGAGAGTTGACAAAGAGAAATTTTTTCTCCCTCTCCAGTGAAGCTGATGGGCAGTAGGTTCAGGATGAATAAAAGGAAAGACTTCTCTACACAGAGAGTGATTAAATGTGGAATTTGCTGCCAGAGGATATAGTGATGGCCACAGGAATAAACAGCTTTAAAGGGGGATTAGATAAATTCATGGAGGATAAGTTGTATCAATGGCTCCTAGCCATGGCAGCTGAGGGGAACCTACATATTCAAAGGCACCAAACCTCTGAATCTCAGAGCCAGGAGGCAATATCAGGGGAAGGCCTTGGTTGTTGTTGTTGGCTGTCCAGAGGAACTGGTGTGAGACAGGATGCTGGACTAGATGGACTGTTGGTCTGATCCAGCAGGGCTCGTCTTATATTCTCAGTGCCACAATTGAGTTTTACTTGTTCTACTACTAGCATGTATCTCTGACACACTGATAACAAAAAAACTGATGTTTTCCATAGTTCTTGCAGTTGCACAAAACTGATCTGTATTTTCTTCTACCTTATACCACTGTACTTTGGGATCATGTGTTCTGGAAAAGCTACCAAAGAGAGGAAAGGATGTACAAGGATTACTCACTGGTACACTGAGGCTTTGTAGCATGTCCGACTTTCTTGTGACTCTTTCCTCAGCTCCATATGGATTCTCTCCCATAAAGCTTGACTTTCACCTTGCAGGTTGAAGGCTTTTATGAAAACAAAGCAACAAGCCCTCTAACTCTGGAGCTGAAGCGAGGCCTTGCCAGCCTTCTCCAGTTTCAGACCCATCCTGGAAAAAAGACTGAGGTAAATAATGAAATTTTATGTCACCAGGAATCTTTGTGTCCTTGGATAGCTATAATTTCAGCACTGGAACAATACTTTTCTTTCAAGATGTATATGTATGCACGTGACATCAAATCGCAACCAATTTATGGCGACCCTAGAAAGGGGCTTTCAACCCAAGTGAGAAGCAGAGATAGTTTGCAGAGTCTTCCTTGGTGGTTTCCAATCCAAGCACCTAGCCTGCTTGTTTCCGGGAACACATGAAACTGCCTTATACTGAATCAGAACCTTGGTCCACCAAAGTCAGTGTCGTCTACTCAGACTGGTGGCAGCTCTCCAGGCTATTCTGCAGAGGTTTTTCACATCACCTACCACCAGATCTTTTAGCTGGAGATACTGGGTATTGAACCTGGGACCTTCTGCATGCCAAACAGATGTTCAGCCACAGCCTCCCCCCCCCCCGATCCGAGATCTGACAAGATCAAGCCCTTCCCACGTGCATCAAAACTTACATATCACAAAATCAAGCCAAAATTCTAGAGTAATAACATAGCAAGATTTTGTCGGTCTAATGTCTCTTACTGGCCCAGGCCCATCAAGTCCCTTTTCATTTTCACCAAAGTTCTTTCATACTTCATAAAATCAACACAGAGCATTGTACATTTCACATGGAAATCGTTAATTGGGAAAATATTGGAAATGTGAATTTTTAATAATATTCAACCCACTAACATCCTATAATGGAGCTGCGGTGGCTCAAGTGGTTAAGACGCTGAACTGCAGGCTGTGGAAGGTCAGTAGTTCAGCAGTTCAAGACCCGGGTGCCGCAAGACGGGGTGAGCTCCTGTCTCTAGTTCCAGTTCCTGCCAACCTAGCAGTTCGAAAGCAAGAAATTGCAAGTAGATAAATAGGTACCACTTCGGTGGGAAGGTAACAGCGTTCTGTGCGCCTTGGTGTTTAGTCATGCCGGCCACATGACCATGGAAACGTCTTCGGACAGCGCTGGCTCTTCGGCTTGGAAACGGAGATGAGCACCGCAACCCTAGAGTCGGATTCGACTGGCTTTCGAGCAAGGGAACCTTTACCTTTACCTTTACCTTTACCAGAGGTCCATCAGTGGATATTAGCCACAAGGTATAGATAGGGGCTCTGGGGCAAGTGATGCTCTGTCTTCTTGGTGCTTGCGGGGGGTCAACAGTGGGAGGGCTTCTAATGTCCTGGCCCCACTGGTGGACCTCCTGATGGCACTGGTATTTCTGGCCACTGTGTGACACAGAGTGTTGGACTGGATGGGCCTTTGGCCTGATCCAACATTGGCGTCTCTTATGTTCTTATGTTCTTAACATCCTATATGTAACAATAACATGGAGGAAAAGTAGCTCATAGAGTCTACGCCTATTAATTGGGGAAGTGGATTTTTTAAAAAGGTATTCAACCCCAGAATACTATTTATAAAAATAATCTGAATGAAGAGTAATAAATACTAAGAGCTCAGTTCATGCTGTACTGTTTATCTTGTTCAGGAGGACATTTCTGGGAGTTGTCAAGTAACCTACACTGCCTCCGAGGATTCTGTTCAGAAGACAAAAGACCTTCATAGCTGCAGAAGATCAAAATTTGGATTCAGCTGTGTGAACAAAGCAAGTCAATTTATTTATTTATTTATTTATTTTGTAAGTTTTATTTATCATTTTACAAAGCATACATATACTAATATTATATACAGAAAACAATACTGAGTCTATTGTTTATTCTTTTCCTTTATCCATTTATATATCCTAGCCCACCTTTCTGGAAATATTTTATCATCTTTCCCTTGAAATATTACACTCAATTTGTCCATTTCTGCAACCTCCAAAAGTTTTATAGCTAATTCTTTTCTCGTTGGTATCTTCTCTTGTTTCCAATACTTTGCTATTAGAATTCTTGCTGCTGTGAGAATATAAGTTAGTACATATACATCATTTTCTTTGTATTCCTTGGGAATTATATTTAACAGATAAATCTCTGGACATGGTTTCAACTTGATATTTAATATTTCCATTATTATATTACTTATGTTTTGCCAAAATTTACAGATTTTTCCACATTTCCACCACATATGAAAAAATGTACCTACATTCGCTTTACATCTCCAACAGTTTTTATTTGGTGTTTTATACGCTTTAGCTATCTTTTCTGGTGTCCAATACCATCTGTGAAATATTTTAAATATATTTTCTTTAAAAGTTACTGCTCTCATCAATTTCATTGCTTTCCATATTTTTTGCCAGTCATCAGTTTGGATAATCTTTCCCATATCTTTCATCTACATAATCATTGTGGTTTTTATTATTTCATCTTGCAAGTAGTCATCTAGTAAGAAGTTATATATTTTTTGAATTAATTTGTCATTTGAGGAGAGCCAAATTTTGTCAAATTCAGATTTAGATTTTAAAAATTCAACTGTTTTGTTTTTGTTATACCTGTCTTGTAGTTGTATTTGTTCCCACCATGTAAGGTGAATGTTTTTAACTTTTAAGTTTTCTATTGGTCTTAATGTATTATTTTCGTCCAGCAGAGTATCATGTGATATAGCTTTTTCCTTTGTCATTAGTTTGGGATTTATAAACGATTCTAAGGGGGACACCCATCTTGGGGTTTTGTATAATATTTATCTTTTATTTCCTTCCATACTTTTATTAGTGCTGATCTAAGTATATGATTGTGAAAATTCGTATGTACTTTATCCTTTCCATACCATGGCCTTCTAGATCTAAAGTTCTCCAGTTTTCTAGTTGCATCCAGTCTTTAATGCAGCTCATGGTTGCCGCTTGGTAGTAAAGACGCCAGTTTGGTAAACCTAGACCTCCTCTTTCTTTTTTAACTTGTAGTATCTTTAATTTAATTCGTGCCCTTTTATTTTATTTTATTTTATTAACTGTGTTTCTTCCCATACTACCTCTTCACACTCAAATCTTATCAGTGGACAGCTAAGACAGAACACAGAGTATAAGAAGTAGTAGATTTGTTGAGAGGTTGAAAGGAGACTCTATCAAAAGGGAGGAGGAAATATATTAGGTTGCTGATATGGTGGGAGGACTTTCTCTTACAGAACCTTTGTGCTGGGGTCTACACAAATTAAAAGACCATTCTCACAGAACTACATTCAAAGTAAATAACTGGTGAAAAATCAGCACAGTTTCTACCACAGCAAACCAGGAAAGACAGAGAATAGCAAAATGGCACTTCTCCCTTCTGCAAAAAAGGCTGATAGACACACTGTATATGTTTAAAGATGGGAAATATAAAAACAGATTATGGGTGCTTACCTCATTTAGTTCACCAGTTTTAATGACAGTGTTAAGCATTCTCAGGGGTAAATGTCAGTATGGCTTTTACTGTATCACAAACCCTATTTTTTTAAAAAAATATAAAATAATAGTGCACAGAAATGGCAGAGAGAAGAACAACACAAGGCTTTTGGGGCCCCATTAGGAAGAAAGGCAAGATATAAATGAAATAAATAGACATCTTTCAAAAGTATCCAACACTAAAAAGGATAGTGGAGAAAAGAAAAGATAAAGCCCTTACCTTCCACAGATTTTTGGACTCCTGTGGCAACCCACAAGTAAAAGTCTTTACTCTATGGAAGGAAGTCTCCTCAAATCTGCATTGGCTGAAGAAAATCATGTGATCTCACTAAGCCTGAAATCTTCCATTGGAGTCAACATCACCTCCAGGTAGGTCCCACATGGGTTCCTTCAATAGAGTCTGCATGTGTGAGAGACGTTAAATGATGCCATCTTAATCAGGGTTAGAAAATTGAGTCCTGGGTAATCTTGATGCCCTTGGTTGCCAAAGGGCAGGTTTGAGGTGAAACTTACAAGCCAAAAGAAGGCACAGAAGTATGGAAAGAAACTGGCAAAAATGTCTGCTTCTGAGGTCTCCTCACCATTCTTCAGTATGTCAAAATGTGTCCCAGTTCATGTACATTTTCAAAAGGATAAATGGCGGCTGCAAGGGAAGTTTCAATTTGGGAAAATCGTATGGAAGAAAATAATATGAGAGAAATGGGGTGCCACAACCTTAGGGTTGCCAGCTCTGGGTTGAGAGATACCTGGAGATTGTGGGAGTGGAGCCTGGGGAGGGAAGGGTTTGGAGAGGGAAGGGACATCATCAGGGTATAATGCCACAGAGTCCACCTCCAAGGCATCCATTTTCTCCAGGGGAACTGTTCTCTGTTGCCTGGACATCAGTTGTAATAGCAGGAAATCTCCAGGTGCTCCCTAGAGGTTGGCAACCCTACATGGCCTCGATCCCAATTCGGGGGAGTGCTCTCATACCTTGTGAGTTTAGGAAAATGCTGGAAGCTCCATGCACTGAACTCTGAGCATATTGTCTGGTTAGACCCTCTCAACTGAAAACCTCCAAGGCCTTTGCCCACTTGTATATCTCTTTACCTTGACGTTAGCATACTGAAACATGATCGGACTATTCACACAACCAGATGGAGACGAAAGATCTTATCATCATCAGCTTCTTTTCTTTCCTCAGGCAATATCTTGAGCTTGTGGCTCAAGAGCCTGGATCCAAAGAATTACCTGAGAAGAGTCTTCAGGAAGCGCTGGCTGCCATATTGGAAACACCTCAGCCCACCGATATAGCGAGTGAGCCTTTCAAGAGGATCTGCAAACAGTGCCCAAAAGTGAGTGGCAGCAAAGCCCTTACCTAAGTCTACATTGACCAATGTGCTAAGTAAGAGTACAGGTGCCCAGCCTATAAACTATCCCAGGATATTTCAATGTCAAGAGTCATCTTTTGGTTCCCTTTATATTGCTCACAGCTGTGAATCTAAGGCCTGCTGCCTCATTATAAAATGGGGGAGCAGTATCTATATTCCCATGAATCAATTTAATTTCAGATCATTTTTTGCCCTCAAGTGTCAAAGCAAATGTTAGATCGCCGCTAACAAAGATCCGGAGAGGGATTTCAACAAAGTGAACAGCTTTATTGTAGGTACGAACAAGTGCTTGCAATAAGTCATAACCAGAACAGTTTAACATTGGGAGCCAGGCTCCTTTTAAACCTTCCCGGTTTACTTTAAACGCTCCTCTGTGGGTTACTATTGTTTGTGCTTCGGCTGCCTCTGGGGTCACCGGCAGCTGCTGGTAAGCTTGAGCCAAGTCAAGCTTAGCAAAAACCTTCCCTCCCCCCAGGGAAGCCAGAATGTGACTTATTACTGGGACCGGGTATGAGTGCTGCTGCAAAGCTCTGTTTAGAGTACACTTATAATCTGCACATATTCGCACAGACCCGTCCGGTTTGACCGGTGTTACTATGGGGGTCTCCCACTGAAAGGCACCGGTTCCAAAACTCCTTGTTCAATGATCTTGTCCAGTTCCGTTTCGATCCGTGGCTTTAAGGCGAGGGGCACCTTCCGATACTTTAATCGTATCGGTGTCGGATCCAACTCAAATGCAATTGGGGGCCCTTTGTACCTTCCCAATCCATCCCCAAACACCTCAGGGAACTCATCATACAACATATTCCATTTATTTTCAGTCAGTTCGTTTACTCCATAAATTCCAATGCCTAATGGCTCGAACCAGTCTAACCCCAGTAGGTTGACCCGGTCCCCTTCTGCAACCAACAATGACAGGGTAACACATTTTCCCTTGAACTCAACCTTCACAGTATCCCTTCCCGCCAAAGGAATTCTCTTTCCTTGAAAGTCAAACACCCTTGTGTCCGCAGGCTTGAGCCGCCGCCGACTCCAGGTAGGGAACAGCCGCTGCCATATTGTCGAAGAGATCACTGTGACGGATGATCCTGAATTGACCTCCATGCTGCAGGGCATGCCATCGAGGAGAGGGGTGATGGAGATCTTTCCCTGACAACTGGTGCAAAAAACAGTTGATGCGCTTGTCAGGTTTGATGTCATCTGGCAGTTGGCCTCTGTTGCTCGGGATCGCTGTTTCCTCATGGATGAGGGTGAAGAAGGCTTGTCTGCTGATCTGCAGACTCTGGCCAAATGGCCTCGCCACCCACATGCTCGGCACTCGACATCTTTTGCCCAGCACTGGTCGTGGTGGTGTTTCCCACCACATCCGGAACACGGCTTACTCCACGCAGTCTTCATTGGGGTCCGCTTGTCTGCTCCCGCCTTTACTACGTTGACGTCATCATCCACATGAACGCTTTCGCTGTCAGGACCCTGGTAACACCAGGTAACACCGGCCGCTGTCGGACCTCTTTAGTGGATTTATCTGCCACCTCTGCTGCGACAGCCTCTTCGTATGCCACAGCCCAGGTTAGGGTTGTGCGCACAAACAACCGCTGCTGCAGCCTCTCATTGCGAAGGCCACACACCAGTCGGCCTCTGAGGGCCTCCTTGATGTTGGTGAAATTGCACGGCCTCGTTGCCTTTCGCAGGGCCAGCACAAATTCGGCAATGGACTTGCTCGCTGCCTGACTCCTTTTGTAGAAGACGTGCCGGCAGGCGATCTCTGATGGCTGCAGGGAGAAATGGGCCTTAGCTTTTTTGTCAGCTCCTGGAACAGCACCGTCTTGATGTCAGCTGGAGCTACCAACGACCTGGCGATGTCAAAAACGCTCTTTTCCCGCATGAACTCAGCAGGCTGGCTCGCTTCTTCGCCTCCTCCTTGATGTCGTTGGCCTCTAAGTGGAACTTGAACCGTGCAAGGTATGCATCCCAATCCTCTGTCATGGGTTCGAATGCCTCGAACATCTGGCTACTGGCCATCCCGGTAGGCTCGTTCACCGGTGCTGGCGGTGCCTCCGCTGGAGTGGCCACGGCGCTGTGTTCATCCTCGTCCGTCGTGGGGTTTGTTAAGCAGGGCTGCCTACCTGCTCTAACATCCCATCCTCGTCGCCAATTGTTAGATCGCCGCTAACAAAGATCCAGAGAGTGATTTCAACAAAGTGAACAGCTTTATTGTAGGTACGAACAAGCGCTTGCAATAAGTCATAACCAGAACAGTTTAACATTGGGAGCTAAGCTCCTTTTAAACCTTCCTGGGCTAACATAGCCACGCTTACTTACAATTAACAACCAATGAGGTTATTGTGTAGTGGGTTGACCATGTGGCGATGGTGAAAGGCCGGCCGTAGATGAAGTTGTGGAACTTCTTGACCCCTGCAACAATGGCTAGTCCTTCCCGAACTATCTGGGCGTAGTTCCGCTCGGCTGCAGATAGGGTGCGCGAGTAATACGCCACCGGGACCTCCTGGCCATCAGGGAGACGATGCGCCAGCACTGCCCCAATGACGTAAGGAGAGGTGTCGCATGCCAAGACGACCGGCAGAGCCTCGTTGAAATGGGCCAGGACCGGGTTCGAGATCAGGAGTTCCTTAATGTTCCGGAAAGCGGCCACCTGGCGGGGCCCCCAGACCCAGGGGGCCTGCTTGTCATGGAGGCGATGTAGGGGTTCCGCTACCGCCGCCTTGTGGGGCAGAATGGTGTGGTAGAAATTAAGGATCCCTAAGAACGCCTGCAGCTCTGCTTTGGATTTCGGTGGTGGAGCTTCCACGATTGCCTTGACCTTGTCCCTGGTCGGGTGGAGGCCTTCCGCATCCACCGTGAACCCCAGGAAGTCCACAGATGGCACCCCCAGCCGGCACTTGTCCAGTTTGACCTTTAGTCCCGCATCCTGGAAACGCTGGAGCACCGTGCGGAGGCAGTCCGCGAAGTCGGCCGGCGTCGCAGCGGCAATCAGCACATCATCAAAGAATGGGGTGACGCCGGGGACTCCTTTAAGCAAAGAGTCCATCAGTTGTTGAAAAAGTCCCGGTGCCACGCTCACCCCGAATTGTAGCCGCTTGGTTCTAAACGCACCCCGGTGGGTCACAATCGTTTGCGCTTCAGCAGTCGCCTCATCCACTGGCAACTGCTGATAAGCCTGGCGAGATCCAGTTTACCGAATATCTT